CCGCCGCAGCCGCGCCGCACGCCATGATTGCTGCTGCCGAGCGCGCCGCCGCGCCGCCGGCCGCGGCGCCGCGGCGCTGCTGCGCGCCGCGCGACTGGGAGGGCAGGCAGCGCGGCGGCGGCGCGCTGCGGCACGCGGTGTCGGCGCCGTCGGGCTGCGGCGCGGGCAACGACCTCGCGTCCGCGTGCGTCGCCGCGGGCGCGGCCGCGGCCGGCGCGCCCCCCGCGCCCTGCTGGCGTGCCCCCAGCTGCGATCGCCTATCAATTGACAGCGCTGCCAGCAGCGCCGCGACCGACGCGACCGCGGGCGGCGACATGGGCGCGGTGCACGGCGGCGACTCGCCGGCGGAGCCGCGGGAGCGGTGCGTGCGCGGCGGGCGGCAGCGGCACGGCAACACGTCGCTGGTGGGTGTGCGTGCAAGCGCGGGCGCGGGCGGCGGCGTGCAGTCCCCTCGGGGCCTGGGGTAGAGGGCCGGCGCGCGCTGCTCCGCCAGCATCCCCCCGCTCGCCCATTCGGTTTCAACCTCTAAAATGTGGGGTGCCGCCTGCTGTTTTGCTCCTGCCTACCCCCTCGTGTGTTCACCACATGTCGCTTCCAGCCTGTGCGCACCTCCATCCGCGCAACCAACCACTCAACCCACCCCTCTCCTCACCGCCACCCCAATCCCCGCAGCTCCGATCCAGCTCACTCGAGCTGGAACTGCTTTCGCGCTCCGCCTCGTTCCGAGGCCTCGCAGGCGCCGCCTCCGCCCCCAACATGCACGCCCTCGCCGCCACCCGCGCCCCCGCGGCTGCCCGGGCAGCCCAGCCCGGCACGGCCGCGGCGCGTGCCGTCGCGATTGGGTGCGGCGCGATTGGGCGCGGCGAGCTGCAGGCGGCGCGAAGCTGCGGCGGGCAGCTCGAGCTGCTGCGCAGCCCAGAAGACGCGCTGCTCGGCTGCTCAGTCGTCCGTGTGCGCCTGGGCCCCGCGTCGCCCGGGCCCCTCGGCGGCGCGCCGCTCGAGCTCGCGCACGCCAACACTGCGCCCGCGTCGGTGCTCGCCGCCAGCCTCCACCCGACGCCACGCCCGCGCGCCTGCGCCGGCGCCGGCGCCTTCGGGCTCGGCGGCAGCCCCGGCAGCTGCTCTTGGCGGCCCTCCGCCGCGCTCGCC